GATTAAAGACTTAAAGTGAGGACCTGAAACTATGAAACTACTAGAAGAAAACATTGGGAAAACTCTCCAGGACATTGGTCTGGGCACAGATTTCTTGAATAAGACTCAAATGCACAGGCAACTAAAGCAGGAAATGGACAAATGGATTATAGCAAGCTAAAAAGCTTCTACAAAGCAAGGGAAACCATCAATGAAGTCAAGAGATAACATTCAGAACATAAGAAAATATTTGCAAACTATTCATTTGACAAGGGATTAATAACTAAAATATCTAAGGAGCTCAAACAACTCAATAACAACAAAAAAATCCAATTTACAAATAGGCAAAAGATCTGAATAGACATATGTCAAAGGAAGACATGCAAATGGCCAACAGGTATGTGGAAAATTCCTTAACATCACTAATCAAGGAAATGCAAATCAAAACCACAATGAGATATCATCTTACACCAATTAAAATAGCTGTTATCAAAAAGACAGAAAATAACAGATGCTGGTGAAGATGAAGAGAAAGGGAACCCTTGTCCACTGTTGGTGGGAATGGAAATTAGTACAAGCACTATGGAGAACAGTATGGAGATTTCTCAAAAAACTAAAAACAGAGTTACTATATGATCCAGGCATCCCATTGCTGGGTATATATTCAAAAGAAGGGAAGTAAGTATATCAAAGAGATATTTGCATTCCCATGTTTATTGCAGCACTATTCACAATAGCCAAGATATGGAATCAACCTACATGTTCATCAATGGATGAATAGGCAAAGAAAATGGGGCAGATATACACAATGGAATATTATTCAGCCATAAAAAATGAAATCCTGTCATCTGCGGCAATATAAATGGAATTGGAGGACACTGTTAAGTGAAATAAGCCAGGCACAGTTAGACAGATATCACATTATCACTCATACTGTGGGAGCTAAAAATCTTGATCTCATGGAGGTAGAGAGTAGAATGATGGTTATCAGGGGCTGGGAATAGTAGCGGGGAGGGGAGATAAGGAGAGATTAGTTAATGGGCACAAAAATATAGCTGGATGGAAGGAATAAGACCTGGTGTTTGGTGGCACAATAGGATAACTATAGTTAACAATAATTTATTGTATATTTCAAAATAATGAGAAGAGTGGCATTGGAATACTCCTAAGACAAGCAAATGAGAAATGCTTGAGGTGCTGGATACCTCAGCCACCATGATCTGATCATTATACATTGCATGCTTGTATGAAAGTATCACATGCACCTCGGAAATCTGTACAACTATTTTGTATTCATGAAAATAAAAATTAAATTACATTAAAAAAAAAAAGGTCAGCGGGATGCTAGTGGCCTCCACCAGCAGGAATCCTGGGATGGTGTTTCCCTTATTAAGATTCCACAGGGACAGGCACACCCCGAGTGAAAGCCACATCTGTGCCTTACTCAGGGTCCAGGTGTCAGTCAGATGAAACAGCAAGGTGTTTGTGTAGTATTCATTCATTCATCAGTAAATATTTATCAAGTGCCTACTGTGTGCCTAGAAACTGTTCTAGTCCTTTGGGATACATAGTGAACAAAATGGAAAAAAAATCCTTTCTCTCATGGAGTTTACATTCTTGTGGATGAGACAGGCAATAAATAATAACTATTATAAATAAGTAAATTGCCAAGTACGTTAGAAGGTGATAACCTTCTATATAGAGTTATGAGTTCATATGGAAGGCAAGAAATTGAGAGTACAAGCTTGGGGATCTAGGGCTTGCTCACTCTAGGGTCTGGTTCCTGGAGGTGACCAGGCAGGGCTCACCGGGCAGGTGATATTTGACCAAAGTCCTGAGGAGGTGGGAATAGCCAGCGCCAAGGTCCTAAGGTGAAGGGAGGTGCCTGGTGTGTCTGGGGAACAGCCAGGGGGCCAGTGTGGCTGGAGCAGTTAGAAGGAGGAGAAGAGTAGGAGGTGAGGTCAGAGGGAAAGTGCCTGGTAGTGCCTTCTAGACCATTGTGGAGACTTTGGCTTTTACTTTGAGTGAAATGAGGAGAGCAATGGTAATGGAGGGATTGAGAAAGAGTTTGGTTCTGGATAGATTTTGAAGCCAACAGATGTCCCAATAGATGATAGGTTGGGCATCAGAGGAGGGGTACCAAGGTCAAAGACTGCTCCATGGTGTTTGGCTGGAGCACCTGGGAGGATGGGGATGCTGTTCCCTGCATCTGAGACAGAATACTGAGACAGAAAGGTTCCTGTGGAATCGTTTGGGGGAAGACCCAGCCCTTCACATTAGACCTAGGAAGTTAGGAGGCTGTTGGACCTGAAGATGAAGAAGACGCGTCGGGACCTGGAAATGTGGGCAGGGGTGCAGAAGAGAGGCCTGGGCAGGAGTCCTCGGAGGCAGGCGCTATTGAAAGCCAAGAGACTGAGTGAAGTCACCAAGGGAGGAAGAGAAAGAAGAGGGTGGAGGACTGCATGCTGGCCCTGCAGTGTGAAGACACTAGGAAGGGGCAGCTGCGGAGACTGGGAAGCAGCAGCCACTGCTAGAGGAGGAGAGAGCCGGGTGTGAGCAAGTGGAGAACAGGTGTAGACAGGCAGAGGAGAAACAGCTCAGTCTGTCTGCTGCCCACAGTCACGAGCACAGGCACGCCCCAAGGGAAAGTCGCCTCTGTGCCCTACTCAGGCCAGATAAAACAGTTTTAAGGAATAGAAACAGCTTCTCTTCCTGCCATGCCGGGGGGCGGGGTGGGGGGACTGCTTTAGCAATTTGCATAATTGGGCCTTGTGAGAAAGACCCCTGTGAGTCCAGTGCTGAAGGGAGTTGATTTTAGCCACAGCAATTAGTCATTCTCCCACTTCATGAGCTGTCTGTGTGTGGTTTCTAAACAGGCAGCATTTGTTTAACAAAATAATCAGCATCTCCATTTCCTCCAAATCATCCTTGAATGTAAAGATCATTTGAAAAAATGCTAGGCCATGCTATGGTGCACTCCTAGGGGTGTCTTGTTTCCATTTTCCTAATTTCAGATGGAAAAATGTAGGTAAAGCCTTGATGCACAAATTTGAAAATAAAACCAACACTCTCCTGTATGCACTGGCCCCTTCCTGTGCACCCCCAGCCCTGTGGTCCTTAGAGCCGCTTCCTACAGTATTCGTGATTTAGAACAGCCCATTCTTTAAGCTGGTCCAACATTCTTCCATCGGCCTATCCACACTCTCTGGTTTGGGCTGGATCCCCAAGGAAATGGGTTTGGCTGCCTCAGGCTGTGGTCTAGGGACAAAGGAAAACCAAAGTCTGAGTTCTGGGTAGATGTTGTCAAGAGACAGGAAACCACTCATGGCTTAACTCCAGGAGCCTGCAAGGTCAGGCAGTGGGTGAGTGCCTGTGAGCAGAGCCCGGAGAGATCTCTGAGGTAGCAGCGCCCTGGGGATCTGAGCCTTGGAGGTGCTGAGTCTTTGGATGAGAGGGAACTGATAGAAGCTCCGGTCCATTCAGTCATTCAATATTCATTTACCCAATGACTCCCATGGCTCACGTCCTTTGCTTCTTCATGAATTAATGTTTATTTTATGATGTCGCAGAAACCAGACATAGCCTAAGCCTGAGAAGTCTGGGAATGGTAGATGGTATAGTGTCGGGGAAACCGCAGTCGCTGTTGAGTCAGACTGGCTTGGGTTCAAATCCAGGTCTGGCCAATTGTACCTTAAAGGGTAGCTTAGCCTCATTGGGTCCCTATAGTTCCCACCAAAGGGGCCATTATGATGTGTTCCTTGAGGAGCTGTTGTGAAGATCACGATGATACGTGGAAAACACCTGATGCAGTGCTTCTCACATAGCAAGGACTCCATGTATTGTAATGGTGATCATTTTTTGTTTGTCATAGCAAGGTGTGGGTGAACTAAGGAGCCTAAATGAGACTTCCCATGCAGAGGCTGAGAAAATGAAGGGTTACTGCTCTAGAAGAGAGGTGGGGAGGGTGCCACAGGCAGGCTACTGTTCGCCCTATTTTGCCTTGGGCAGACATTGATGCCCTGTCCCCAAACTCCTTTCATTCCTGCTGGGAGATGGCTTCCAAGGTGTGGCTCCAGGCCAAGGCCAATTACTGAGGTTTGCCTGTGGGCTGTAACCTCTTTACCACAGTCACCCTGAGCAGAAAGCCAAGCGAGTAATTTCGGAGAGCTTGTGTGCTGACACGTTTTTGATGAGGTGAAAGGGTCTGACTCAAAGCTAGCCCTCGACAGTGAAAATTAAGAAGTGTTTCTAAGCCTGAGAGGCAGCTTTGAGCTGTGTCCTCAGTCAGGAATGCATTTGAAAAGAAATTTGAAAGGCTCTGAACTCTTCTAGATGGTTCTGTATAGACACTCCCCACGGTCCATGTCCCGGGAAGGGGTAGACACAGCTCTGAGCAGCCCAGCTTGCCAAAGCAGCAGGGCGTCTGTGCCTGTGCACCTCTGTCATGTCTGGAATGTCCCTGGAAGAGGGAACTTGCCCCGCTCAGCCTCCACCTCCAGGGAAGTTACCTGCTTCTCTCTCTCCTGCCATCACCAGAAGCCCAGCCCTGCCCTGGCTTAGGAGACAGGAAGGGAGCCCAGTCCTCACCCTCCTTCTCCAACTGCAGTTCAGCATGTCAGAGCTGGTAGTGAGAACCTGGGAAGTGTATTTTCTGCCTCTTCTAAAGGGGAAGCCCATGGTTTTAGTGCTCAGCAGAGATCCCCATAGGCTAAAGTCTTAGCACCGATGATGTTCACCCCCAGGTGCAGGATACTGAAAGTAGACAGTTAATAACAAACAAGTACTCTACCTGACAGCAAGTGGGTAAGGGGTGACAGCCAGCGGAGTCTTGGTTTCCGATTTCTTCCTAATGTGGTCGCTGCTGGGCGGCTCTGCTGCTTGTTAGACAATCAGGGTTGCTGCCCTGTTAGTGTACGGTGGCGTGTGGGGAGCACAGCCATGGCGTGTATTTGATGATAACTCAGGCCAACTCAGGTCCTTTTTAAATGACACTTCCTGATGCACGACCTTTTTCCCTGCAGCACCTCTCCTTCAAAGACCCGGGAAACAAACACTGAGAATGAAGCCAGCCTGCTGCTTCCTGACCCTGGACGGATCCTTCCATATTCCAATATCACAGTCATGTCTGCAAACATCCCTTCTATTAAAGCAGTATGCAGATGTAGGTCAGAAGACAGAGCAGCGGATGTGTAGAACAAGTAAGTCTAGGGATCTAATATACAACATGAAGACTAAAAGAAAAAAAAAGCAGTATACATTTTGTGAGACCATACTTAGAAAAGCAGCAAATCCGGGAGAATGAAGTACGAGGCACACTGGTTTCACTTGATCAAATCAGCTTCTGAAGCTGATTTGTGAAGGGGCAGGGAAGGTTGGAACCCTCAAGCATTATTTGGGGGAGTTCACGGGTTTTAAATAATTCCGTAAGATTGATAACACTTTAATGAGTCCATAAGTAAGAATGAGATTAGATAAAATTGTTGTGGATCCACTGACTAATCACGGAAAATAGGTAATTTCTATTAAAAAAAAAGCGAGCATGCTATGGGTGTAGATAAGGTAACGATGGACACAGTGATACCATGCAAAGGCTCAGGTTTTTTCTACTAGCGTTTTGGATGCCTCACCTACATGTAACTGACAATAATCTGCTTCTTTGCATGAAGAACCACATGCAGCCTTTTCCATACATTAGCTCATGATTCCCAATAACAATCGTAACACTATGTATTATTTTCCCCTTCTTCAGATGGCAGAACAGGATCAGAGAAGTTTAGAAACTGCCCTCAGTCACCCAGTAGGGAATGGAGCTCAACTGTGAACCCTGGAACTCCTGACTCCAAAATCTGCTCTTTTTGACTGGCTGACCACACAGCTTCCCAGTGACAGCAGATGGGAGAGACAGGAGGGAGGGAGGAAGGGAGGGAGAAGGAGAAGGAGAAGGAGAAGAGAAGGAAGAGGAAGAAGAGAAGAAGGAGCAGGAGGAGGAGGAGGAGGGGGAGGGGAAGAGGGAGGAGGGGGAGGTGGAGGGGGAAGAGAGAAGAGAGAAATGGAAAGAGAGAGAGAATGTGCCCAAACTGGAGCCAACAACTCTCCATACCCTCAGGTCTCCCTTCACAGGGCCTCTTCTTTCTCTGGCTCTGTGGTTCTCTATCTTAGGATGCATTCTCACAATCGCCTGGAGGGCTGGTCTCCAGGTGGATTGCTGGACTCCACCGCTAGATAGAGTTTCTGATCTCTTCAGTCTGTACTGGAGCCTGAGATTCGAATTTCTTAGCTGTTCCCAGATGTTGCAGGTCTGGGGACTCCACTGAGGACCACCGCTAAGTATAAACCTGCCTTTCTTGGAAAACAGTACTAGTATTGCAGAGAAGCTATTTTAACATACTCTTTCTTAGTCTTATATATAAATAAACAACAAACAAACAAGTACGGTTTTGTTTAACGATAAACCATCAAGCTTTCCTTTGTGTAAAAGTAGAGATTTCACCTACTGCACAGATTCAATAAGCCCCGGGGGGGGGGGGCACTCCACATACCAGCAACCATCTGCAGGAACCACGTTTTTTTCCTATGTGAAATGTCCTCTGAGTGCCGGCAAGTGACTAACATCCAGTCTGTCTCAGAACTCAACCTATTTGGAGAGTGGGTGTTCGCAGTCAGCATGTGCTCAAGTTGGAACTGTCCCTTGGATAAACTGTTACTGAAGCACTGCAGTGGCTACAGGCTGAAGGACTTTTGTCTTCCAGGCCTGGCTGCCAGGATGTGAGGCCTGGGTGGAGGAATGCGGTTAGAATTCCATGCGGTCAAGACTTCTTCCCTTGAGCCCTGTTAGGCTCTGCTTCTCTGATTTCCACTTTCGCCTCCGTTCTTGCCAAAGCTGTTTACATCCTCTAACCAATGCTGTCTAATAGAAATATATTGTGAGCCACATATGTAATTTAATATTTTTAGTAGTCACACTAAAAACATGAAAAGAAGCAGGTGAAATTAATTTTAAGAAATCTTTTATTTAACCTAATACATTTAAAAAATCATTTCAACATGTAATTAGTATAAAAAGCTAGGAAGAAAATATTTTACATTATTTTTCCCCTATGGAGTCTGCGAAATCTGGTGTTATTTAACACTGAGAGCACATCTCAGTGCAGAACAGTGATATTTCAAGTGTCCACTAGCAACGTGTGGCTGGCAGCTACCATATGGGAAAGTGTAGCTCTTTCTGCATTTTAACTGCTTTGCGAGTTCAGAACCTAGAAAGAACCACTATGTAAAAGGCAGAGACAGCCAAATATTCATAGCTAAGCACTGGTTTTATGTTTATTAAACATACAGATGCAGATAGTCAAAACAGGGTTGTGCCTTAGAATCAACTGGGACACCTGTTAAGAAGATAACTGTGGCCGGTGTGGCGGCTCACGCCTGTCATCTCAGCACTTTGGGATACCAAGTTGGGCAGATCACTTGAGATCAGGAGTTCGAGACCAGCCTGGCCAACATGGTGAAACCCCGTCTCTACTAAAAATACAAAAACATTAGGTGGGAGGGGTGGCACAAGCCTGTAATCCCAGCTACTCAGGAGGCTGAAGCAGGAGAATCGCTTGAACTTGAGAGGTGGAGGTTGCAGTGAGCTGAGATCATGCCACTGCACTCTGGCCTGAGTGACAGAGCAAGACTCTGTCTCAAAAAAAAAAAAAAAAAAAAAAAAAAAGGAGAAGAAGATAACTGCCTGTACCTAATCCTATATCTACTTAATCAGAATGGGCTATGAAAGGAGAGGGAATCTGCATTTTTAATAAGCACCTCGGGTAATTTTGCTGCATCCAGCCTAGGACTTTCCACAGAAGAACATTTCTGAATCACCAGACAGAGAAGTATGAAATCCCATCCGGGGTGCCAGGCTAGAGGAGAGAGGCCGCACATCATCCAGCTCCTCTTCCTGTCTGCCATGCAGTCTAGTTTTACTCATACTTGAAACCTGATTTGCATGGATATGTGTTCTTAACAGAGAAACATTTTTATCATTTTTCAGGTTTAGGTTACCATCCAATTTATAGAATAAATGCAGTTCATGTGGCTTTCCCATGCTTTTGTGATTGAATTTAAAATTTAAGGGCTCCCTGTTTTATATAGAGATTTGTATGCCAGTGCTGCCACCTTGTGCTGAAAGAGACTGTTGACACAGGTTGGAATAAACGTGGACTTGCCCTCTGCTGGTAAAGAGGTTAGAAACCTAGTGTATCCCCAGGGTTCTGCCTCATGTGGGCCTGCACTGATCATAGCCATAACTGACACTTTTTTTTTTTTTTTTTTGAGACAGGGTCTCGCTCTATCATGCAGGCCAGAGTGCAGTAGCGCGATCTCGGCCGACAGCAACCTTCTTCTGCCGGGTTCAAGCGGTCCTCCTACTTCAGCCTCCCAAGTGACTTTGATTGGAAGCACGCGTCACCACATTTAGCTAATTTTTATATTTTTATTAGAGACAAGGGTTTCACCATGTTGGCCAGGCTGGTCTTGAACCCCTGACCTCAAGAGATGCATTTGTCTTGACCTCCCAAAGTGCTGGGATTACAGGCATGAGCCACTGTGCCCAGCCACCGCTGACATTCTAAAGCGGTCATTCTCCAAGTATCTTCCCTGGGCCAGCAGCAACAGCATCCCCTGGCAATTCATTAGAAATGCAGATTCTTAAGCTCTGCTCCAGGCCTACTGAATTAGAAATCCTGAGGGCAGGTTCAGGATCTGTGTATTAACAAGTCCTCCAGATGATTCTAATACTTGATAAAGTTTGAGAAACACTGCTGCAAACTAAAACAATGATTTTTGCTCTTTTCAGAGGCACAGATGCAATGAACCTCGTGGACAGTTGCCTTAAAACAAAGGTAAAAGCACATGACGTGCCCAGACTTTTGTGACCACTTTTGGAGAGTTTATAGACTACATGTGGTTGGACCCCTGCTCCCAATCCTGCCTTCATGGAGCTGGAGGGAAGGGGACAGGATGGGGGTAAAGAACAAGACATCCTCACATACATGCCATCAAGACAGCTGGTTTAAGGCTCTTGGTGGTTATGAGAGCCACTGATAGTGTGTAAAATGGCTTTGTCCAGATTAGAAAAAGGTGCCTTTGAATAAAGTTACCTTGAAACATCACATTTTAAAACACTAATATAATCTCTAAAAATTATCCTTGTAACACTTAATGGATTATTAATGGAAAATTATCAATTATTTTTCAATGATTCATCTTATATATAGTATGGTATAGAAAGTACTATAGACGTAAGCTGAAAGCTTAATAATACCATCTAGGGCAAGTAACAAGTATCAGGTGACATAAATTGTAAGATGGAGAGTAAATTTAGCAGTGTTCTAATACAAAGGAGATGGACATTTTTTTAATATGCTCACCAATCATGATTATCAGTCAACTCCTCCTTGTTTGGAAGCAGAAGTAAACTAAAGCACAATAAAAATAATATGATGTTAATGTACTATGCTGCTAATCATTTGTAAGTTGAATGACAATATGAACCTACCCATCAGAAGGACACTTTACACTCATCTATCATAATATAGTAATTTTGTTAAAGCAAGATTTCTTATTGCTATCTGTTTAAAAATTATTAAAAAAAACATACAGACCTCCCACCTTTGGAGACAACAAAGAAGAACATATTTCAAAACAGTGAAGATGTCTATGATGTGAGTAGCACTCCCTTTGAACAGCACCTTTGTGCAGTGCACAACTGAACAACTGTACTTGGTGGCCGTGGTGCTTTGCAGGCTACAGGTCTGTCAGTTGCGTCCCCATCAGAGATGATGAGCTTGTTGTTCTAGATTTCCCCTCATCATTAAGCCTAATAGGAAATTCAAATGAAGATAGTGAAATTGCAAATTGAAGATTTTGCACTCCCTGTGACTCTCCTTATAGATATATTCTGAGTGTCCGCAAAGTCTCTAGAGACTTAATGGCTTGCAAATAATATGGTATCAGAAAGAGAATCCATTAGTGGAGTGAACATGTGTGGCAGGGAGATCAAGCTTCCTTTTTATTTTATAAAATGTGACTGTGAAGAAAACCTTTCATTAAGCCACGACAGATCTAAAAGTACTTATTTCTAAATCTTGGAAGCACAGCGACAAAGTGAGAAAGTAGTGAGGAAGTGAGTCAAGGGTCCAGTTAGAGCTCAGTGCTGGTATCTATTGTGTGTTTATGTCAGGTCTTCTTTTTCAGGCATTCCAAAACAGTTTCCCAGTGCTAGCCTGAATCTGCCTTTGATTGCAGGTGATTTAATCATCATCCCCGGACCCCAGCAACAGTCTGACTGAACAGGGAACTCACAGAGCCAGGATGCAGGAGGGCTAGGCCAGGCTTCCCCCTCCCCTAATGGTTCCCTAGGTTCATTCTTCAGGACTTAATGTATTTTTTCTCCTTACATATTATGCAGTAAAAGGCAGCTTCTTCCAAAAGAGTAAGCTTTGTCCCCTGTGGGCTGAGGTCTCCGTAGTAGGCAGAGCTAGAGTTATCATCTGGGGAGTGGTTAGCCTTCCCTTGCTTCTGAATCCAAGAAAGCCACCGCTGCATAACTGGCCCGCTCAGGACTGTGAACTTAAGAGGAAAGGGCAGCACTGACTCCATGTTTTGTGGAAGCTGCCCCTTAAGAAAGGCCCACAATTTTCCAAAGTCCTGCAGTTGCCTACACTCAGCCTTCCTGTCCCATGATGACATTTCCTAAAGCCCGCGTGGCCTAGTAGGTGGTGGTGTGTGCAGCCTGCCTGGTCTTTGTGAGACACTGATTCCCTCCTGAGCTGCACTCACTTTCTGGGCACCATTGCTTCACCTCCAGACCACTCAGCAAGGCCCTTCCAGCAAGGCTGGCACAGTCCCCACTGTTTTACTCAGTGGTCTGGGCATTCTCAGATCCTCCAGGGCACTCTAAATATCCCCTGCCTCGTCTTATCAGAGACGCCAGTCATCTGCAAAGACCAACTCAAGCTCCGTGATTTTCTCTTCTCTCATCTCTCCTCCTTCCAACCCTTCAGTGTCACCTCTTACACCCTGCTCAGCAGTGTCAGGGAGCTCCTCTGGGGAGGTACATGTCTACCTCATTTTGTTTTCTGGGGGGCAGAAGAAATGACTTAGTTGCATCTTTACCTCTGAGAATCTCAAGGGAACACATCTTTCTCAGAAAGCACAGGGCACAGGATACCTTTCTTTGGATCTCTTTTGTGATGAGCTCAATTGTGTGTCCCCCCATTCATATGCTGAAGGCCTAGCTCCCAGTACCTCAGAATGTGATGGCATTCGGAGACAGGGTCTTTATAGAGATAATTCAGTTAAAATGAGGTCTGGGATGAGCCCCAATCCACTATGAGTGGTGTCTATATAAGAAGAGGAGATTGGGACACAGGCAGGCATACAGAGGGGATGCCATGTGAACATGAAGATGGCCATTGGCTAGCCAAGGAGAGAGGCTGCAGAAGAAACAAACTAACCAATACTTTGAGTTGAATGTCAGCCTCCAGAATTGTGAGAAAACAAACTTCTATTGTCTAAGCCACTGGGTCTGGGATACTTGGTGGCAGCCCTCGCAAATGAATACACCTTTATCCCTAGGATGAGCCTTGTTTTGACCTGTGCAGCCAGAGATCACTACTAATAAGAGGCTCCCATATGTGAAAAACAAGACATAGCAAAATATTAATTAATTGTAGACTGTAGGTAGTTAATGCATGGGCATGTCCTTCAGAGTCCAATCAGGAGACAGGAACCACACAGTTACCTGAACTGGGAAAGTTTTATTTTATTTAATTTTTAATTTTTAATTTTAATTTTAATTTTTTCTTGAGGCAGCGTCTCGCTCTCTCGCCCAGGCTGGAGTGCAATGGCATGCTCTCAGATCACGGCAACCTCCGCCTCACGGGTTCAAGAGATTCTCCTACCTCAGCCTCCCCAACAGCTGGGATTACAGGCACCTGCCACCACGGCTAGCTATTTTTTTTTCTTGTATTTTTAGTAGAGACGGGGTTTCACCATGTTGGCCAGGTTGATCTGGATCTCCTGACCTCAGGTGATCTACCCGCCTTGGCCTCCCAAGAAATGTGTCAGGATGGGGACCGGGGTAAGCTACTCATGGGAAGGCTAAAACATGTGGTTCACACATATCCCTCCCTAGGAATCTGATGCACTGGATTCAGGGTGGCAAACTCAGGTAAGGCTGCTCTGAATCATTCAGAGTTAAAGCCCGAGTGTCCACAAGGCTACCAGACTTGGAAATGGCCCCGTGTTTCCTCTCCGGCCACATCTCCTACAGCTTTTCTCTGGATCACTCTAATCAGTCACTCTGGTGTCCTCGCTGCTCCTAGAACCAGCTATCCTCCTCCCTACCGCAGAGCCTCTATCCAGGTATCCGTGAGGCTTGCTCCCCGCTCCTTCGAGACCTTGTTTCAAGGTCACCTTCTCAGCCAGGCCTACTCTCATGGCCCCATTGAAAATTGCACCTGCTCCCAATCCCCATCACCCTGCTCAGTTTTTTCCCATAACATGATGCGGAGAAACTGGAACTCTTCTACATTACTGGTGGGAATGTAAAAGGTTAGCCCTTTCGGAAAATAGTCTGGCAGTACCTCATGAAGTTAACCAGACATTTACCACACGCTCCAGCATTCCCACTCCTTAGGTATTTACCAAAGAGAAATAAAAACCTATGTGCACAAAAATGTATACAAATTGTTCATAGCAACTTTACATGTAAATTTCAAAAACGGGGAACAACCCAAATGTCCACCAATTTGTGAATGGATAAACAAAACTTGTGGTATCTCCATACCCTGGAACAAGATAGGAAGACACACAACCACGTGGCTGAATTTCAAAACATTATACTAAGTGAACGATGCCAGACTTAAAAAGACTGATTCCATTTGGAAAACTTTGTGGAAAAGGGAAACCTAGTAACAGAAGGCAGCCGACGGGTTGCCTGGGGCTGTGTGGTCACGGGAGACCATGAAGAACGATGAGGTAGGAGGGAACTTTTAGGATGATAGAACTGTTCTATGTTGTTTAATGGCAGTTAAATGATTCTATACAATTACCAAAATTTCTCAAACTGTACACTTAACCGTGGTGAATTTTATTCTTTGTCGATAATCCCATCAACAAAAAGAGAGGGGTGGAGGATAAGGTGACAGCCGTCAAAAATAGCCACCAAAATGAGGCTATCAAACCAAGACTCCACCACAGTCCAGGGGTTGAATTCCAAGTAGCAAGAGCCCAGTCTCTTCCAGCCTCTCCCGCTGCTGAAAGTAGGGGTTCAGTCCAAACGCCCCGCTTTTGCGAACCCATCAGTGCAGATGCGCCTTCCTCTGACCAAAGCTGCTACCTGCAAATGTACTGGAGGGGGCCTGACGCTCTGAAGGTGGCTGCCACCTGTGCCACTGCCATTTTCCTGGGACTGCGGCACTGGGCCTCACCGCCCACTTCTGCCGGATTTGCACTGGGGTCGAGTTTTGGGGGGTTGCGGTGGAGATTTCCTTCTCCTATGTCCCACCCAGGTGCCTTGCTGAGTGTTGCACCTACGCTCAGGTGACAAGCACCGCTGCCCATCACACAGATGCCTGTCCGATGCGCTCCCTCCTCGCCCCACTGGAGGGCCAGGGACTAAAGGAGGCTGGGGGGCAACCAGAAGCTTCTCAGGCTTTCGCTCGGGCTCTGTTTGCCACCCGTCCCCGCCATTACCACCACTACCTTCCTCCCGACACTAGCCTTACCCGCCCCCAGCCCCTGCAACGTCCTGCAGCTGCAGCGCCATCGCCCCTCTCCATCCTCCACTCCGAGACCAGCACAGTTTATTTTCCTCCCTGGCCCAGGGAAGGATCAGCCGCTGTTCTCTCCCCTCTCCCAGGCTGGCTTGCGGATTCCCGCCCCCACGGCAGCAGGCAAGTCCGCTCCTTCGCCCCCGCCCCTTTTGCTAGCTTTGTCCCGCTTCCCACCGCAGACGCCTCCTCCGGGAACCCCTCGCTATCCCAGGATGAGAAATGGACCGTTACAGCCGTGCATACTGTCCTGCAGGAGAATTCATTTTCCTCACCCCACGGCCACCACGGCACCACCTGGGAAAGGGGCCTGACCGTCGAGATCGTTTGAGGCTCTGCTTGGTCCCAGGTTCCACAAGGGGAGGCATTCGATAGACATATTTGGGCAGTGCCAGATTCAACCATCTCTTTTACGAATTTTGAATTTTAGACGTCATTATGTTTTTCTTTTAAGACAAACATAAGCAGGTGATAAACTGAAGCAGTTTAAACGGGTATTCAGTACAGGCCAGTCTCTCTCCTTGCCCACTGCCCAGAAAAATCATTCTCAATCTCACATTTCCTTCCAGCCATTTCCCAAGCATAAATAAGTTTGTCTACATAAGCAAATGAGACCAACCTATCAGTCTTCCCTTTGTTTTCTTTAAGGTACTGGGTCTTGGGAATATTTCTACATCAGTACAGAAAAGGTTACCGCATGCCTTTAGAGCAAAGGCTCTCTAAGTGTGGTGACCAGGCCAACTACACCAGCATCGTCAGGGAACTTGTTGGAGATGCACATTCTTAAGCCCCATTCCAGACCAGTTGAATCAGAAGCTGGTGTGAGGCTTGTTGGTGAGTGTTTTAACAAGCACCCTGTGCTCACATTTGGGGTGGGGTGAGGAAAAGATTTGCTCCCTTTTGATGTGCCATAATTTATTTAGCTCTTTAAAAAAGGCAATTTTGAATTGTGTTTTAAGTAATGAATCTGACAGTCCCACTATTTAAAGATTTTTTAATTTACATAAACCAATAAAAGAAGAAAGTCGAAATGAAGAACCATTTTTAACTCCAAGAAAAATTTCACAGGTTTCATGTGGACTTGTTTATTATTACAAGACCCATGAGGTCATATTTAGTGATTAAATGTATTCAGGTTGATGAGCAGTTAAATCTCTTATGCAAACACAGTTTTCAAGAGAACAAATGAGATCCTTTAAAATAGGCATATGTGCAGTTTCCAAAAACAAACATACATGGTCTCAAAGTTATAGGTCAACAGTCCCATTAGATAACTGTGAAAGCAAACCTTTACATATTAGGAAAGCTTTTGGCTCTTTTTAGTAAACTGATTTTGACAGAAAATTAGCTACATCTGTACAAGATAGAGAAAAAAGTATAGACTTAATGTTGCAGTAATTGGTTGGTAAATATTCTGTAACTTTTCACTTTAATCTTTTTAAACAATGGATCACAGCTAACCAGAAGCTCTACTTATCAAAAGCACTTATAGCCACAACTTTTTCATTCAAAGCTTTCATAATACCATTGAAACTTGTGGTCCATAGCTTCAAACTATACTTTTAACTAAGAATGAATCGAAGTATTCTGGCTTACACTTTTCTGCTTTACTCAGTCCTGTAAATAATGGGCATTTAGATGACTTGCAGTGTTTTGCTTAACAAAGTCATTGCTTCAGTGATCATTTTCTACACATGTACAATTATTGTGGAGGATAGGCTCTTAGAAGCGAACTATTATGTCAAAGATTATGTGCATTTTACGTTTGATGAGTATTGCCAGATTTTTAAAAAGAGGTTGTTGCAATTTACATGGTATATTTTAATGTGTATTTTCCACATCCTTGCTAATATCTTGTGTTTTTTTTATTTTAAAAACTGTAAAATATTTTGCTTATGTGCAAGGCACAGGAGAGTGGTTTCCTATTTTCATCATTTCATTTCTTTAATTATGAGCCATATGGGTATGTTTTCCCATTTATGCTTCTTTCCCAATCTTCTATGTGACAGCAGGTTTGTTTGTTTGCTTGTTTTTTACTAATTTGCAAGTGCTCTTTATATGTTCAGTAAATGAGTCCTTTGAAATCTGTATTGCAAATAACATTTTTCTTAGTTGTTTTATCTTTTCACTTAACTTTTTCATTCAGAAAACTTTAAGTTTTATATAGTCAAAATGGTCAGTCTTTGTCTTCATGGCTTCTAGGTTTTTTTTTTTTTTTTTTTTTTTTTGAGACGGAGTCTTGCTCTGTCGCCCAGACTGGAGCGCAATCTCAGCTCACTGCAAGCTCCGCCTCTCGGTTTCACACCATTCTCCTGCCTCAGCTTCCCGAGTAGCTGGGACTACAGGCGCCTGCCAACACGCCCGGCTGATTTTTTGTATTTTTAGTAGAGACGAGGTTTCACCGTGTTAGCCAGGGTTGTCTTGATCTCCTGACCTCGTGATCCGCCCGTCTTGGCCTCCCAAAGTGCTGGGATTACAGTTTTTGATGATACTTTGAAAACATTTCATTTCTCTAAGGTATGGAAAAATTCACTCATATTTTCTCTTGGAATTGGGAGGCTTTATGACATAGTGATTAAGTGTATGGGCTTTGGAGTCAGGCTGCCATGTGTGTAAATCACATGCGCTGTGTGGTCTTGGCTAACTTACTTAACCTCTCTGGACTCAGATGCATCATTTATGCCTATCATACAGGGATATTACGAGATAATGCCTGACATAGGGTAAGTGCTCAATTAATGTTATTTCTTGTTATTTTTCAACCAGTGCTCCTATGACTTTACTCACGTTTTTATTCATTAGGTGTTAGTTTTCATGCAAAGAGTAAGCCAGGAATCTAGCAATTGTTTCCCAAATTAAACAATGAAAAGAAAGAGGCAACATCATTACTATTTGCAGATGTCATTGTACTCCAGATGAAAAAACTAAAAAACTAAAACCAAAAAAAAAAAAAAAAAAAAAAAAAGAGATGGTGACAACGTGGCTTATTATAGTAATTAATAAGTTTTCTATTACAAAAAGTGACAGAAAACTAATAGAAGAAATGTCTTCCCAATGTCATTTGTTGATTAATCTCTTTTCTCACTGATTTGGAATGCCAGGTTTGTCAGACACAAATTCAACTTTGTATTTGAGCCTGTTTATTAACTTTATATGTTTTTATTGGCTTAACAATTTCTTATTAAACACTGAACTATTCAATTATTTAGCTTTATAATTCATTTTAATATGTAGTTGGGTTAGTTCTTTGCGTTATTCTTTTGTTTCATAATTTCCTGTTTATTGTTACATGTATATTTTCCCATATGAACTTAGGATTTTAAATTATAAATTAATAGGAAAGAATTGACATCTTTACATTATTTGTTTCTTATTTAAGAAAAAGATATTTTCCTTAGACAAGTCTTTTATACTGCAGAGGAAACTTACATTTTTCTTTCTTAAAGGTCTGCACATTTCATGTTAGTTTTTGTTCTTGTGGCTTTGTCTATTGGTTCTTTCCTTTCATTAGTTTTCTGTCTACTTTTTATATGTAGGAAAATGATTAATTATTGTAATTTAGCCACTTTGCTTAATTCTCTTAAATGTTGATAGTTTCCCAGTTGATTCTTTTGAATTTCAATGATATCTACAAATAATAACACTGCTTCCTCCTTTCCAATGTTTAAACCTTATTTTGTTTCTTTTGTCTAATTGTATTAATAGAGCTTCCAGAATAATGTTAAATCATGGTGGTGACGGGGGCATTCCATATGGCCTTCTGAATTTATTTATCTAGGGTTTTGCCATTCAATATGGTGCTGGATTTGGTTTGAGAGATTTCTTTAAATTCTGGGCATTCTCTGGTGGCCTTTCAAGTCTCCATTTCCCTTTTCTGTTGCCAGTAGTCCCCAAATCTTGCTTTGGGAGTGACCATCATTTCTTATTCTCAGTCCTGTGGTTCTGGTAAGAGGGACCCCACTTGTACCTGTGGAGAAATAAGTCTCCCCTAGTTTCCTCAGTGCTCCTATCTAGAAGCTGTAGCCTCCTGAGACACAGAAATGTGTGTAATATAAAGATAGAGAATGTTTGCCTTCTCCTAGCAATGTTTTACTTTTCATATACTGTGAAGATTTGGTCTGTAGCCATTTGTCTGATTAATTGCTCTGATCAAAAGGGATAATAAAACTTTTCTTATCTCCCTAGGAAGGGCAAATGGTTACGGTCCAGACTATTCCCCTAGGTTAGCCACAAAGAGCAGAGTACTAGCTCCCTAGGGATGCGCTGTTGCTTTTGATTTACAATTTTGGCAAAGAAGTCACTCCAGAAGAGTTCATTTGGCCCTTCCAGTTATGATAGCCCTTACTCCACAGGTCAGGCAACCAATGTGGACATTCTGCCAGTTGCAGAGTTTATTCTTTCTACACACCCTGAAATTGAGGGTATAATCGCAGTGAGGGTCCATGTTAGATCCAATATAAGAGGGACTTGGGCAAGGATGATTCAGCACTTGATCTGCAGGAGCTCCCATACTGCAAGGTGGTCCCTGAAGACTCACGTAAATTAAGAGACAGTATCTAATAACTCCTGGGAGATCTGTGTATTCCCCTCTCTCACGTCACAGTTATCAGGGTAAATGGTCACTGTTTGCTCTGGGAAAATTTTTATCATATTGCACGGTCTTCATTCTAGGGCTCCAGGTCTGTGAAAGAGGTTATGCATCTCCCTAGGATGACTTGATTTAGACTTCTGCCCATGAATTATTTTTTTCTACTATACATGTCAAGCAGCCAGCTGCTTAGTAGGCTACCTGCTTATTCCATTTCTAAGGACACCAAAATCAGTCATAACTACAAATTCCTGCAGCACCATTCTGTTCTTGAGGCTTAGTGTAGTCATTATGGCCACCAGGTCTCTATTGGGTAAGTGGTGCCACCTGGGCTCTACCACACCAGAATTGTGTTATTCTCCTTAAGATCGGGGAACCTATTCCATCCAGAGCTTTCCAAAGAACTCTGTGGAATTGGCCCATCTCCAATATGTTTTTCAAAGCTTTTATGTGTGGAGATTACTCCAGGATCCTCCAGTGGGGTCTGTTGAATGGGGATGGTTTGGGAGGGGGCTGAGCAGGTTGCATATAATAGATTCATTCTACTGCTCCTGTTTCTCTAAGCCTTTGCGGGAGGTTCTGGGAATGCACTCTGACTGTAGGCTACTGTGGTAGGCAGAATAGGAACTGATGGAATTAAGACTGCTGATCAGCTGACCTTAAGATAAAGAGGTTTTCCTGGGTTATCCAGGTGATCCCAGTGTAAACACAAGGCTCCTTAAATGAAGAAGCGGGCGGCAGAAGAGCTAGAATCAGAGAACTGTCATCAGGAGGAAGACTCAGCTGGCCATTGCTAGCTCTGAAGATGAAGGAAGGAGACTCAAACCAAGGAATGTGGGCAACGTCTAGATGCTGGAAGAAGTAAGAAAACAGATATTTCTCTAGAGCCTCCAGAAAGGAATGCAGTCCTGCTGGCACCTTCATTCTAGCTAAGTGAGATCCATTTTGGACTTCTGACCTCCAGAACTGTAAGATAATAAGTATATGTTGTTTTAAGCCATTTAGTTTGTGGTAGCTTGTCAGAGTGGCGATAGAAAACTAATACAGCTATCGAGTCCAGGTTTCAAATGCTTAAAACTCCCAGGTTTTAGAGCGAATGTTAGATCCTGAATCTCAGATGAGTATACTCATGAAAATAAGTTTAGCCTTATCAAGCCTTATAGTCAGGGCTATGCTAGTGTTTAACAAGCAGGTCTCCAGGGGGGAAAAAAAAGAATAAAGTCCTGGCTTGCAGTACTTTCTTTTTTGTTGTTGTTCGTTTTATTTTTAAAATTTTAAAATTTGTATTTTATTTCAATAGGTTTTGGGGGGAACAGGTGGTGTTTGGTTACATGGATAAGTTCTTTAGTGGTAATTTCTGAGATTTTGATGCACCCATCACTTAAGCAGTGTACAGTGTACCCAGCGTGTAGTCTTTTATCCCTTGTCACACCCCACCCTTTCCGCTAAGTCCCCAAAGTCCAATGTATCATTCTTATGCCCTTCTGTCTCATAGCTTAGCTCCCACTTGTGAGTGAGTTACTTAGAATAATAGTCTCCAGTTCCATCCAGGTTACCTGACTCACAGCATTTTCTGACTTCCAGTTTGCAAATACTCTCACCATGGCCCACTTCAAGCTGTAGACATCCAGCTGAGCGTGAGTTGAGACCAGAGGCACAGTAGCGGCCATTGTGTAGTATTTCCACTATATAGATCCAAGAGATAAATAACCTCAAAAATAGAATAGTAAAAGGAGTGATAATAATGGAGTTTGGAGTATTTATTACCTTTATTTTCAGTATACCTACTTATAAGTGTATGTGACTTAAGTTGTAATGAGGGCTATTTTTAACAACTATCTTGCAACATTTCTAAATATTTAATTATTGGCTCTCATGAGCCAGTCCAACTATCTCCAGCACACCACTGCTCATATCTCTTCCTTTTTTGTTCGTCACCCTGAGAATGCGTTCTCTTGTGCTCCGGGACCGCTTCTACACAGATGGATGAGGTCAGAGCAGGCCTGGTGTTTTTTTTATCTGGGTTACAATGGGATCTAATTCTTGTGGAAGGCTCGGTAGTAGAATGAATTCTGAAAAGAACTGGCACCTCCTTATGAGCAGCTGCCTGGTGGGCAGTCGTGGAAAAGTTTTATGCAGATGTAGGTAGTTTCCTGGGATGGGAGAGGAGCTGCCTTTGAAGACAAGGCAGACTTCAGAGGAATTTGGGGATTCAGAATCCCCAGCTTCATCCCCGTCTGCTCAGAGTCCGACTCCTTTCTCAACAGCACTTACCTTAGTGTGGTAGTTCTCAAAAGTCAGACTGCGTCAGAATCCTCTGGAGGAATTGCTAAAACATGGGTGCAGAACCCCACCCTAAAATTCTGAATCAGTAGATTGAGAACTTGAATTTCTAACAAGTATCCAGCGGACACTTCCATTGCTGGTGTGAGAACTGCCATTTGAAACTGTGTTAGTCTGAGAAACACAGTGGGCTTTCTTATTTGTGGTTGCAGTTTCGCAACCCTGAGAACCAGGTGTTGGGCTTGGTTCCCAGCCACATCTGCCTGAGGTCACAGAAGGCACAGGATTCCCTCAGAGCGGCTTGGCTGCCTCCTTTCCAGTGATGTCCTCGGTTGGACATTCATGGCCTTCAATTTCCCTTTTCCCTAAAGCCAGTCTCCCTACCACCTTCATAGTTACTATTGCAGTTTGCATTTGAAGCATAACCAACTGCTCTCAAACATAGTAGCTTAAGACAATCACTTTATTTGCTCACAGTTCTGTGGGTCAGCTGGCTCTTTCCCTCTTTTTTTCCTGGCTCAGGCCAGGATCAGGGTGGAGAAATAAACTCCACCTCTTTATGGGAGGATATGCAACATACTATGCTCACTTTTTTTTTTTTTTGATCTATCACAATCACTATTGTCACTGTAGCAAATAAGGGCCATAGTCACTTGGTTTCCCCCCCCCCCTTTTTTTTTTTTGAGATGGAGTCTTGCTCTGTCACCAGGCTGGAGTGCAGTGGCATGATCTCAGCTCACTGCGACCTCCACCACCCGGGTTCAAGTGATTCTCCTGCCTCACCCTCCTGAGTAGCTGAGACTACAGGCGCCCGCCACCATGCCCAGCTAATTTTTGTATTTTTAGTAGAGACGGGGTTTCACCGTGTTGGCCAAGATGGTCTCGATCTCCTGACCTCATAATCTGCCCGCCTCGGTCTCCGGTTTCCCAATATTTTACACTCTATCTGGACTTTATCCCATGCATCACTGCTAAGTCATTTGGTTAGTCCTGCTGCCACTGTGTGCCATAAGTTACCTGTGTTCTGTTTCCCTCAACAAAGAAGGTTATCTATGATGTCATCAAATATGAGTGCAAAATAATCTTACAATTGCATTTTGAGGCTGCTTCTTGAACCACCTCGTGAACTAATTACTAAATGAGTCTTGACAGGCAAAAGTTGGCCTACTCAAAGTGGATACTTTGAGGGGTGTTTACTAAAGAGACTGTTTGCCAAGGTGTAGGCAGAATTCAAGCAAATCAGTGTAGTTTAGTTTAGTTCAGTATCTTGGAGGTAGTCCTTCCAGGGAGACTGTTACAACCTAAGCCTGGGAGGTCAAGGAGGTAAGGATTTCTGGAGTCCCAATAGGGTAGCTATTTGGGGACAGTTGCCTGGCAGTGGCTGAAGCCTTCTGTAGATGATCCAGTCAACTCCTGGTAATCCAACGGGACAGAGCCAGGGGGAACTCTCCCCCTTTTGTGTCTCCCCTTAGCCCATCCTAGTTGGTAGTAAAAGGCCATTGATGTGTCCCTTCCAGATCAACCTTCCAAGGCATAGAGCAAGGTGGTTGTAGGGCCACATAGACTGGGCTCATTCTGGGTAGGTCTGGCCAATCTCTCCCTGCCTGGGAAAAGCCATACTCCTTGTGATAACACTGCACCCTTTCAAATGTATAGGCCACGTTCACAAGCACGAGCTCACCGAGGGGCATGTCAACTCTGAGGAGGTTGGCGTGGTCCCATTTTATAGACAGGGCGGGTAACTAAGTTGCTGAGATTCTTTGAGCTCTAAAGTCCCACAGCTGGTATGTGGGATCAGAACCCACTTATGTTCTTCTGGTGTGTCACAAATGTTTCCAGTTGAGGCTACAATGTAAGTAGACTGCAGCCATAATTAGTGCCGTATTAGTGCCCTAGGACAGCCACAGAAAGTACCACACACTGTGGCTTAGAACAACAGAAACCTGTCTGCATTCTAGAGGCTGGAAGTGTGGGATCACGGCATTGGCAGGGTTGGTCCTTTTAAGGGCTGTGAGGGAGAGCCTGTTCAGGTCTGTCTCCTGGCTTCCGGTGATTGTTGACAATCTTGAGCATTCCTAGAGGCAGCCCCAGTCTCTGCCTTCACGGTCACATGCTGTTCACCTGTGTGCCTGTCCGTCTCTGTATCCAAAATTCTCCTTTTTGTCAGGAAACCAGTCCTGTGGGTTTGGAGCACATCCTGATGACTCCATGTGAACTTGATCATCTGCAAACACCCAGTCTCCCAGTAAGGTCCCAGTCACAGGTACTTGGGCTTATGACTTCAACATCTTTTTGGAGGACAGAATTCAATTCATACTGGTGCCCAATTATCAGACATATCAACTATGTTTCTTGATGGTCTTATACCTTTTTCTATTGCTAAGGAGAGTCCGTTTAATACAGTACCGTTTAAGTATGCTGCTTTGACAGTATGATGTTCTCTGAAAACTCATGGTCTATGAATGTTATAACTACTAGTTATCTTATTAGCTAGGACAGTGTCTTCCTTACTTGCACCAGGTAAATGAGGAATCCCAAAACAACCAATAGGTGGACAGACCCTAGGTCTTAGGTTCTTTTGTGAAATCACATGTAGGCGATGCTGCCTCTATGGCAAGAGCTCCCTGGTTTCTGGTTTCTCCCTGCCAGGTTTGAATCTGTTCTGAACAGCAGGTGTCGCTGTTGCCTGCTCTGTGACTGTTCATTCCCAGTAAAAAGCCTTGGCTAGAAGAGAACTTATCCAAGGGTACTGCATCCAGTCTTTGCAACTCCTAGTCATTTTTGACTTTTTCAACAATTTGATCTACGTGGGGTCTTGTCCATAGCAAGATGTAAGACCTTCCTAGCTTATTTCTAAGAGCCTCTCAGCCTCCACCTTAACATGCACTGGCTCGGAGGCTGGAAAACTGAGGGCTACATGAATGGGGGATAAGGGAAAAGGTCCGTTCAGTGCAGGTCTGCAACTGCATATGTCCCCTCACTGCTTCTGCCCTGCTGGGTGCCAGTCAGCAGTGGTTTCCTCTCAAGGGGCTGTTGGAATTATCATCTGTAGTGATGTGGCTGCTACGAAAACATGGCAGACCCTACCAAGAACTTTTATTTCCATTTTCCCTTTTGTTAGGGCTGAGGTGATTGTTTTAAATTGCCACTGGGTCTGCATTTCAAAGTTGACTTTTTCATTTTGAAAGAAGGCCACAGTGCAACACAGCATGGGTGAGGATGAGGGTGGGGTCCATTTATTCAAACCCTCCCGATTCCCACTGTCCCTGGGCACTCAGCCTCGAGGGTGACTAGGTAGGGCAAGGGCACTCACCTTCCTCTGGCTTATAGAATGGCAGATGGGAGGGAGGGATGTTGTTAAAGGTTGTGGCTCAGATGATAAAGCACTTCCTCTTCTCCTTCCCCAAACACAGAATGCAGGGCTCCCGCAGGAAATCTGGGAAGGTATTCTCTGCTGCACTGGGGAAGGATAGGTGGGGCAGGGGAGAAGAGGAAACAGCATCTGCTCAGGCTAGCAGCAGGTCCTGGAGGCCACGTGGATGGGCAGTTGCTCCTTGGAGGGGGTGGAGTCAAGGGCCAGTAGAGAAGGGACATGGAGGACTGGGACAATAGCCTGGCCACCTGTTTCAGTTGTGGTTGGAGGTGTGTGCAGCCACAGCAGCTTCTGGGGTGGCGTGTGGGGAGTAGTCACTTTTCAGATTCTCAGCCTCACAGATGGGTTAGAATGGCAGTCACCCTTTATTATGGGGCGGAGGGGGTGTTCTGGGGCAGTGCAGATTTCAATTACTCAGATACAGATGCTAATACAATTTGCTCAGTTTTATATTTTACTTGTATTCTTTTCTCTTTTGGAAAGGCAGTATAGTAAATCTATACCAAAATTGTGTGTGAGTGTGTGTGTGAGTGTGTGTGTGTGTGTGTGTTTTAGAGGGAGTTT